CAAAGAAAATTCTCCATTATCTTTGATAAACTAATCTATGCTATACAAAGCATGTGTATTCTCATGACTGAGGTACTTTTAAAATCATATGTGGCTAAATAATTAAGTATAATTTTAACTAAATATATGCAGTTGCCTGTAGTTTTCGCCATTAAATCTAAAAGGAATGGGAGATGTGTTCCCAGTTTCGATTTTTTAGTAGCTTTAATTCTATATTCTGGCTTCTTGTTTATGGCCAAAAGCCATAAACAGGCATGTCTTTGTCCTCTTATTCTCTTTATCCTTTGCTTTCTCTTGTTGTCTGAGCTAATCCTATTTTTCTTTTCCTTTTTTTTTTTGAAGAAAATTTTGAGTAGGAACATGACCTAGGTTGAAGTTGAGCAGAAATTATTGTAACATAATTTCAACATTGATTTTTTTTAAATAAAAAATATACATCTATGTTATAATAAAGGTTATCATTTGTGGGAAGAGCCAAAGGATATCCTTTCCACTACATCACACTATTAAATGCTAATAGCTCGTTTAATTTATTATTCCTCATCTATTCACATAAAAACAGTTGCATTTCTTATATAAGAATAAAAACAACCAAGTATTTTATATTTTCTGAATTTTCTAGTGCATATTTTTAAAACATCATGGAGTGAAGAGTAACATTTTTGAGAAATAAACCTTTTCTGTGACAAGTGTCTAGATCATATGAATACAAATGCTAATCACTAGAAGCTAACTGGGGCAACTATGTAAATAAGTTATTACTCTCTTAATGAATCAACACATTACTTATCCCTTTAATAATTACAGAAAATGGAAATAAAATATGATCTTACTATGTAGTACACTAAGATACACAAAATATAAAGCATTAAAATTTTAAATTTGGCTCGAGATTTGGGAGAGGGGAATATAAAGGCCTATAAAATTGAAAATTGTAGAAGGGTTTTTCAGGCATATATGATGAATAAAAATTATATTGTCTATTAGAAAAAAAGGAATCTTTCTGTTTCCCACTTGTGTAAATTAGTTAAAATAAAGAAGCTCCTAATGGCTTGTGTACATTTCCTTTGAAACCTTATGATAGAAGGGGACATTGATGAATGTGTCCGAGGATGAGTGATCCTGAAATGTAACATCTCATGACCTGCAGGTGTTTCCAAACTGCCTTCCCCCTGCTTGGGGGTTGTAATTGCTATTTGCAGTTTGCCTGTGAATTATACATCTTTGCTAAAATTGAATCTTGCTTCTTCTACATACCCTGCCATGTGCCAACTTGATCTCCTGGAGCAGCCATGGGTAGCTGTTCTTCATCTTAATATTGTGATTTCAGGACATCTAGATAATATTCTTTAACTCAGTTCGCTTCTCCATCTTTCCATTGCCTTATTTCAAATTTATTTAAAGTTATTTCATTTTCTTACATTGTCTCCCTTAATCACATGCCAGTTGAAGTGGAATCGGGTCCTGATTGCTTTGAAAGTTATATAAATATGTTTCAGAAAACCATATTTTGTGATCAATTTCATTTTTTAATTTTAGGAGTATTTAGCTTAATGAATTTGCATGGGAATTCATGAAATAGTAAAAGACTTGAAGTCTCTTGCTTTGTAGACATTTAATTAGACTCAAATTTGGAAGTGATTTCGGAAATCACTTATAGTCTCTGTAGCTCATATAATGTCAGTCTGGTCAACATCAAATGTTGGATATGGTTTCATATTACTACAGATTTATTAGGGCTTCCCTGGTGGCGCAGTGGTCGAGAGTCCGCCTGCGGATGCGGGAGACACGGGTCGTGCCCTGGTCTGGGAAGATCCCACATGCCGCGGAGCGGCTGGGCCCGTGAGCCATGGCCTCTGAGCCTGCGCGTCCGGAGCCTGTGCTGCGCAACGGGAGAGGCCACAACAGTGAGAGGCCCGCGTACCGCAAAAA